AGGCACTGCAAACCTCAAATTACTCTTTGGATACGGTTCGAGGACTCCAGAAAAGTGGGTTTGATCTCTCTCAACTCTCTGGGGATTTGATCTGCCGCTTGGTTGCTAGAAATTTCGGTTTGGGAATGAAGATTCTTATAGACTGTGGAATCAAAATTGACTGTGTGGTGAGCTTCCTTTCACAAATATCACAAATATTTATTTATATCAAATAGCAGGCGTTTTGATAGTTATCATTAACCCTTTAGTTGACTTTAGGCCTCACAGAGAGGAAGGAACATCAAAGTGAAAAAAAAGTCGAGAGAGGAGGGAGGAACAGATGAGTGTTTCAAAGATGTAAGAGACAAACACAAAGGTAGAAAAACGTGAGGTGAGTACCGTGTAGTAGTCGAATATGACATACCGTGGGGTGTTGGTAGTTTGTAGTCAGAAGTCAACTTCCGGTTAATAGACTTTTTGCCGTATGAGTATACGTTTTCCAGGGTGCACCACGTGGAGGTAAGTTCATCGCACACCCCAAATCACTAATTCACCAACCGCATTAACACTGCTTGTAAAATAAACTGAAAAAGATATTGGAAATACTTTCCCACCAATTTTAATTTGCTAAAGAAAATGCCCAAATTAAAATTAATCTGAAGTTGTCAAATGTAGTTGCATTTGCAAAGGAAAATGTTATATGATTTCCCATGAAGTACATAAGTCAATTTTTTTCACGAAAAAATTTGAGGTCGGCAATTTTTTCGAAAGCTCTAATGTTCAATATTTAACATTTAAAGTCGATGAAACAAAAATACTCACCCCAAACGGAATTAAATTCACAATATTTTTATTTATTTATAACAAATGGCAAGCGTTTTGATAGTTATCATTAGCCCTTTAGTTGACTTCAGGCCTCGCAGATGGGGAGGAACATCAAAGTGAAAAAAGTCGAGATGGGGGGGGGGGGACGGAAGAGTGTTTCAAAGATGTAAAAGAGACAGACATGAAGTTGGAAAAAGGTGAGATGAGTACGGTTGAAGTAATCGAATTTGACATACCGTGGGGTGTTGGTAGTTTGGAGTTTGAAGTCAACTGCCAGTTAATAGACTTTTTGCGTATGAGTATACGTTGCCCAGGTTGCACCACGAGGAGGTAAGTCTATCCCACACCCCAAATTCACAATATAATAATAGCTTAAAAAATATTTTTTATTGGCTTTCGTTCGATAATTAGTCCAAGTACCTTATAATCAAATTTCATTGATCAATCGACAAAAATACCACAATACTCAATAAATATTTATTTGTACAATATTATTTCAATTTATGATAATCAAGCATTAAGATGTCAAACACCCACAAGGAGGAAGTAATTCTTGAGTCTTAGTCACTTCTCACCAGTTATCCATTTTTCATTTTCTAACTGAATAGTAACATTGACGCTCTCTGAGTATATCGGTATTTTCTCCTTGATTTCATAGTCAATTAAAAGAAACACTTTTTGTGCACCCCAAACCGTTCTTTCTAGGCCACCACTTTACCTTATTCGTTCGATGCCGTGTAAAAGTTGTCATATGACAAGCTCCCCTTTACTTTCTACTTAAATTCAAAATTCGATTGCTTACTTTAATAGGATCGGCGAACAGGGAATTCCCCTCTCATCCTATTGGCTGCAGAGGGTCTTTGTGGACCAATCCGTTTCCTCATAGATCGCTTGCCAGAGGAGCACCTCCTTCATTCCAATCGCGATTCGAAATCCGTGCTTTCTCTTCTTCTGATCCGAGGCCATGGCAATTGCGGTTGTCTTGAGGCCCTTTTACAGCGAATATCTCCGTCAGTTTTAGAAAATTCATCAGATACCACAAATCAAATTATCCTCTCGGTAAATGAACTCCTTGAAAGGATTAAAACGTCTGCCGTTGATCGTGTTACTGGTGTATTCAAGACGTGGATAACCCTTAACTATATTCATCTTGAAGAAGAAGATGAGATAGGTAAATATGACAATTTTATAAATACTTTCAAGAGACATTAGCCGACATCAAATAAAGTAGAGCGAAATTTGGTGAGAGCACTTTCATATATTTCGTCATTCCGTTATTATCATAACTTTAACTTCTCAAAAAGAAACATTTAATACTATTGACTATTTCTGTCATTATCGATTTCTTATCAAAACCGATCCGACACAATGGGCAATTCTTATCCCAGTCCTCTTGCTTTGTCCCCAAATCTCAAGAGCCTAGTCCACTACGTCAAATGACGTTTTTTCAAAAATCTTACTAATTTATAAAGTGTCTCAAGAGTACTGTTAGAAAAGAATGACGTGTAGCTTTCAAATGTAACGTATTTTGTCAAGTTACCCACATAAAATTCTTCACTTTCACAAACACCTTGGCATTTCTTTTTCCGCCTGAAGCTGCAATATATATAAACAATCAGTTTTGAAGATTTCATTTGCAGGAATATTTTTCATTTGCCAATTACTTTAAAGAGAGCCCTTGATTCGAAAAAATATGCTTAAACTTATCTCGGATTGCTCCACGTATCGAATAAACGTATTCCTTGCTACACGTCTGTTTTCCGCTACTGAATAAATGTTCCGTGCTACACGTCTGTATCCTCTGTAGAATAAACGTGCTCCGTGCTAAACATCTGTTTCCTTTATATGCAATATACGTACCGAATAAACGCATTTCGTGCTACACGTCAGTTTCCCTTATAGCTGGACTATAGCTTAGCTTGTTCTGGGAGTCTAGCTAGATGTTGGAGAATTCTCCGTGCTACTCGTCTGTTTCCTTTATAGCTGGGCTATGGTTTAGCTGGTTCTGGGAGTCTAGCTAGATGTAGGAGAATCTCCCTGGTTCTGGGAGTCTAGCTAGACGTTGGAGAATCTGCCGTTCTGGGAGTCTAGCTAGATGTAGGAGAATCTGCCACAGATATAAACGCGCTCCGTGCTACACGTCTGTTTTCTTTATAGCTGAGCTATAGCTTAGCTGTTCAGTCTAGCTAGATGTTGAGAATCTGCCATAGAGATTTCTAAGTCAGTCAGGCTTTACTTAGGGAGATTTCTAAGTCAGTCAGGCTTTACTAAGGTAGCAATCCTCTACAAAAGCGAATAACTTGTAAATATGATTCTACTTCGAATGCGTAAACACCATTTTGTTTGCCTAATGTGACGTCTTAGAAGCTTAACAAAACCTATGAATGTTCAATTAACTGTTAGAACTAATACTACATCGTTAATACTATTTTTAATAAAAACTGCATTTTTCTCAAGTTATTTGAAACTATTTGCTCAGAACTCTGTTACTATTAGAGTAGGTTATATTCAGCTGAGGTATTGAAGTTGGTCCGGAAGGTCTCAGAAATTGAATAGAAACTGGGTGAATTCCTCCTTGAAAAAAAAAGGAACTTAGAAAAAGAACACTAACAAAATAGTAAAAAGGTGACAAATTCCAACCACAAAACGGTAACCCTGGGAAGGAAGTAACTAATTTGAATAACTTTGTTTGCATTAATAAAGGATATATAGCTTCCTATGAAAAATTCCATTTTAGACAATGAATCACGATCAAGAATAAACGAGAGATTGATCCAACGGACAGTTGGAGCCGTTATCAAGGACTGTCAGTCCATTTGGGCTAATCCGCGAGAAATTTCTATTTCAACATACTTAGTATTTCAACTAATAATTAAACTATTTATTTTGGGACGAATCGGGTTGGAGTTTCTGGACGCTTGTCACAAAGAGGTAGAAGCAGCCTTTTCGATCGATCAGCCGAGACCCCTTCAGGAAGTACAAATGCAACAATTGGAACGGATTCGAGCAAGGTAAACACACCGTAATTGTCATTATTCCATAAGGTACTGTCTGCAATTAACAAAAATTTCCACTTTTAATCAGATCTCTAACAAACATTTTCGGTGGTATGATAACTGGTTTGTGCAGACTTGATTAAAGCCTTCTATTTGTTATTCAAGAGGATTTCTCTCCGTCAACTATTTAAGGAAAACGAAGGGAAATCAACATAGGAAGCAGTGCTAAGATTAACCTCTCCATATTTTGTATGGAAGCGATTAATTTGGCAGTTCCCTCTAGAGAGTGCTTCAATTACATTTTGGGAGCAAGACTTCGTTCCGATAAAAGGTAAATAAGGGAAAATAGCTAAATCTCCTAATTGTAAAAGCTCCCACTAAAATTGAGATGTCACCAATAGTGATAAATCAATTATTTCTGATATTCTGAGTGACAATCATGAAACTTTTACGAGCGTCACTCCCAACTTTCGCGCTTGTCTTCTTTTATTGCCATGCTTATATTTTCATGGTTCGGAATGAAGTCTCGTTATTGGCCTCACTCTCGGCTAATCAGACTTTAACTCGATACACTAATAACAGAACTACCCAAATTCCCTCACTCCCACCCCCACCCCCACCCCCGAAAAGTTGAATCGTCACTTCTGATAGTGCCTTTTACCTAATAAATTTGAGCACTTTTAGCAGTAGGCTATCTAAGTGGGGTCCTAACGATACACCCAGATGTCGACTAGGTAAATGCAATATGTTTGCAATCACACACATCAATTAATCCCTCTCTACGCCTTTCAAGTTTATTACTTAAGTGTAATTGCTTAAATGTAATTTCCTCATCCAAATTAGGAATTTTCTCAATCTTTTCATTAAGAATAGCTCAGTTGAGGCGAGCATTTGAACCAGTTGCACCTTTGAAGTTTTTGACTATTCTCTCCCTTCGGCGATATCTCCTATGTGCAACGCGTTCTACAACAAGGAGCTTCCCCATCACCACTGAAGGATTTGCATTTCATCATCAGCTCGAGGAACTGAACCTGCCACTTTATCTACACAAGTTGGTGCTCATGCAGGATGATATTTATTACCGATAAAAGCACCTATTTATTCCAACTTAACGGACTGTTGGAAAGATTACGTTGCTCAAATGATCACTAACATTGACCCAAAACTCCCCGTTTTCCTCCCCAATTCCTCAATGTACAAGCTCGAAAGGTGTAGAGTAGCTTAAGTGAATGAAAAATGGGTTAACTTATGCAAATTGTTGACAAGGAAGATAAGAATCCCTCTTAACTTCTACTTTACACCCGTTTCACTCCCACTGAGACATCGTTTTTAGGGTTTGCAACATTTAAGCTTAGAGGATTTCTAAAGTTGCCCGATAGAAGGGGCAAAACTCAAGCAACGATTTTGACATTACGCAAACAAATGTGCTTATGTGGAATGGTTTAAATGATTGGCTCATTAGTTAGTCAATAAGTACAACAATGGGTTCTTCGCCAGTGGTCTAAGGACACCAGACGTGTGCAGGGGAATCTAACAATCGACAACTCAATGGAGTAGAGATGAAATATAATGGCTCCTCTCAAGTGTACGCAATAAATAACCATCTTGATTGCTTAACAATTTAAGGCCCTTGGGATAGTACGACCCTCTTTCCAACTAAACTCCATTGGTACTAGATTCGCAACAGAAGGCGCTGTTGTCGTTTGAAATAGACATTTGAAAGCATCAACCGAACTTCACTGACTGAAAAGTTAACTAACTGACCAACATGCTATTACACCAAAATTCATCAAATCAAACCACATGTTATAATTAAACGAATGTTATTGCTTCAGTATTAAATTAAGCCAATTGGCTAACTCAACTGTTCAAGTTAATTTACCTAGAGACCACTCTTTATAACTGAAATTACTCTCAGGCAACATAACTTATGGGCGAATGAGTAAACCAAAAAGAATTCACTCTTTAACAATCCAACACAAACGGTCCTATCGCACTATGCTAACTGTCCGGAATAACATAACCTAAAGATCGTTGTGCGATCACCAATGAGACTTCTAGAAGTACTTAAAAACAAGCCTACTCGTTGAACTTGATTCAGAAATTTGCATCAATTCCACTAATGCGCATTGTCCTGTACAATTACACTATTTGCGTTATTCAATTCGCGAAAATGCCTCCTCCATTGTTTCAGTACAGTGCTAATCCCTACAGAATCAAGTGTGATTTTGTACGTGAACTTTAAATGAATAATATATACTAAGGCACGAAGGTTTTGAGCACTGAGGTATTGTGTGTCACGATAAAAATCTAAAATTGGGAGACGGTTTTCTACAACCATGTCTGTGCATTCTGTGCGAATGTCAAGCAGATGATGACAATTAGTTCACACATTGAGATTTTTCACTTCATTAATTATTTTATTACAGGGTTAGATTTGGAATTGTTGTAATCTGATAAAATAAACAGCAAATAAACCGTGCATTCCGAGAGAGTGATGAAAATCAAACTATCAGGTGCAATATTTTTATTAAGTGTCAGGCGTTCTGATGGCTAGCATTAGCCCTTCAGCTGACTTCGGGCTTCACGGAAAGAGAAGGAGCAACATCGAATTGGAAAAAATGTCGAGCTGAGGGACAGAAAATGATTCACAGATGTAAAGGAGACAGACACAAGGGTAGAGAAATGGTGAGATGAGTACTGAGGAAGGAGTCGAATATGACATACAGTCGGGTCATGGCAGTTTGAAGTGAGAAGTCAACTGCCAGTTAATAGACTCTTTTGCCGTATGAGTATACGTTGCCCAGGGTGCACCACGTGGCGGTAAGTCTATCGCACACCCCTTTCAGTTTCAATGTCAATTTCCATATACCAAAAATATAACATTCCAGACCAACTCCTCAAACAATAATAGACAGAAGGCATCCATCCAATGGAGTACTACAAGCTTTTCGTTTTCTCACAATCGACAGCATTGGAATGATGAGTAGCACGCCTTGTGATTGCATTGTCATTTGCACCTCTTACTTCCCTGTGGCGCCCCATTGCCGAGTGACCTGGCACAGGTCGCGGTGCGGCTGAGTGACTCCCACTTCCCTGTTCACCAACTCTTGGGTTGTTGCGGTTAGGAGCTCGTGACAAATGGGATCGCGATACTGAACGTCGTAGCCTTTGTTTCACATTTGACGCAAACGTTCTCAGTGATCTTCTGCTTCTGTGGATGAGTGAGGCCCTCCGCATCAGAGAAGGACGTGAAGTCTTTGGAGCGGCTGCGGCGGTTTGGCTGCTACACGGAGGTGACGATGGCAACGACTCCACCTTCGGGTGATTGTAAATTGGCAAAGTATCAGGATCAACCATTGGTCCCTGGTAGATTGGCAACATGGGAACTGCGCACATTTTTTCCGCACAATCATTCGAATATAAATGCGACGGAGAGAGAGACGTAGGAGGTGGTGGGGTGGATGAATGCAGATCACCGGATGAAGAGGAAGTGCTCGATGATGAGAGTGCTACAGTGGGGATCGGTGACTTTGGGCATGGGGAAGGAATAGTCAAGTCCAATTGACGATTACTTGCCATTTGGAGAAAAACTTGAGTAAAAGAAGCAGATGGAGGATATTAGGAGGATTAGATGGAATTAGCGAATGACGGGAGGAGGAAGAAGGAGAAGGAGGATGAGGACAAAGTGTATTTGCTGAAGTCAATCGGAAAACGACGTGAGAATGTACGAAGTGAATTTGAGAGAGAAGTAGAGAGTGAGAGAGTGAGAGAGAGACACGTCTTAACTCCAGCAATGCACACAGTAAAGTGAAGAATACTTGCTTAACCAGTCTTCAAATTACAACATAGGATGACATTTTGAGGTCATCTATTCGTTTCGATTATTAATGGCTTCATGCCCTAGTTCACTCGGTAACTAAGAGCATTATTAAAGAAAAATAAACATGACCTCAAGTTATATGACCTTACTTTGTCCTCCATTGACAACTATCGGTTGACATCTGCACAGTAGAAATGAGTACAACCTATAATCAATGGACCACTTTTTAAGAAGTGTGCTTATTAATGATTTAATCCAATCAATGCGAATTTTATGAAGGGATTCAGAACTGCTAAAAATTGACTTCTTTCAGCTAAACTACTTACCAACTCGAAATCAAGGCAATTAAATTGAGATTTGTTAATTACGAATGTAGTTGCATTGAGTGCACGCCACCTGGAGGTACTAATATTAAAAGTAATCAATGCGATTAAAGCTCACCATAATGAATGCTCGTAATTAAGAAACACCAAAAGGGCTTTGTTTACCACACCACCACGAGGAATCGCACTTGGTTGAACTATGCTGCGATCATGAGGTGCGCTAAAGAAGTGTTTAATCCAACCAAAAATGACTGCTCTACAATGCGCAAAGTCCCCATAGGCCTACTGTAAGGCTGATAAGATCTCAATAGTATCTTTGTTAGAACTGTTCTTAAAATCTGCCGTTTGGACGGTTGAAAGCAGTTAGCCGTTTTGAGATTCAGCCTGTCTTGATCCTAACGTTACAAAGAATGATCGAATAACTCGCGTTTCCTTAATAACACATAAGACATGTTTGAACTTGTAATTCATTGTTTCATTTTAAGTTATGCCATATGTCTGAGAACTTTTAGACTCACTCTTGAACATGCACTTCCAATGTTCAAAATGTATGAAGCAAGATTACAATAGTTGCCAAATTAAATTTGTCTTCAGTTTCTTTCACCAAGTCATATTGAGTGTTTGAGTCGGCTCGACAAAACAGGCTCGTCTTCAGTTTCTTTCACCAAGTCATATTGAGTGTTTGAGTCGGCTCGACAAAACAGGCTCGAATCTGCATTGCTCTGCCTTCATTTTGTCTACTTATGTCCACATCTCGAGGCTAATGAGCGGCCGCTCAAAGCTATGACAACAGAGCACTTCAACCACTATTTGTTTGCGTACTAATTCAACAAGGCGTACTTAATTACTCCTTCGGTTTCCTTCTACTATTTGGGAAATCGGCATTGTAGTTAAATTGCATGATTTCTCAAAATCTCCACTCCTTATAGTTAGTAGCTTAATACTTTGGATCTAGAAATTGGCATTAGGTAATACAAGTTGAATGCTGAAATACCTTAAGCTCGGCTTATTAAATTCTATACTACAACTGTGATTGTATAAACCAGATGAAAATTTGCGTTCCGATACTATATAACACCCACATTATTATTATTATTTCAAGTGGCAGGCTTTATGATATTTATCATTAGCCCTTAAACTTTGACTTCAGCTTTGCCCATGGGTGGGGGTGGGGCACACAAATAGCAGTTCATTAGTTGTCTTCTTGCTTCCCAGTATCTCTGGGTTTCCGTCGGCATTTGACTTCAATATAACACCCACAAAGACACCAGTGATAACGCAACCACTGATAGAGTGAGATTGCGCAAACGCGTAAAAGGACAAATTCGAGTGCGTAAAAGTGCATTTACTCGAAGATGTGATTTCGGATTTTCATATGCTATGTTTAAGTTCTATGGCTCTGCTAATTCTATTGAGAGATGGGGGAAAGGCACAAACGGTGGTAGAATAACTATATTCGAAGGGAATAATATGCAGTAGTAACGCGAAAACGAACAATATGACGTTCACTAAGCAAGAATTCAAGAAAGCGAGGCAATAGCTAAACAACTTGCTGATTTGTAAAGAGGAATAAGAATAATATATACGAATTTATATGAAAGTCAACGTGGTATACGTCAATGTGTTGGTAGTATCCCCCCACCCTTTTAAAAATACTCCAAGCTCAAACCTTGTTTAAATTCTACAAGTAATTGGTAGACGCATGTTAACTAAAATTCATATTGATAGAAGCTCCCATCCCAAGCTATTCGAGATAAGCCACGCCCCTTCAATAGTCTACCAATTTCACTAAGACAACCGGATTGGGTGGGTGAGGGTCAGACATCAATAGAGGGAAAGGATATATGTGATGGAGATAAGAGTCTGAGAAACAAGGATAGAAGCGGTGATATTCGTTAATATCTCGGATTACTCGAGAAGTACTTCAGTCACACCACCATCATAGTTCGGACTCATAAAGCGGGCTGTAGCAATGTCGAAGAAGAGTACTCCATAGTGTTGTACTCAAAAGACATTTTAAGAGCTTAATTTTAAGAGATCTTGTGCTCAAAGTATTCTAAAGCACGGAGTTTACCCGCAATAAGTACAAACTACAGCTATCACTACCACTCAGCATCCACCAGATTCACTAAAAGAACAGTTGACAACAGCTAACTTCAGCAAAATGGAGTATTTCATCAAATTGAATTTCGCAAATTCGTTGTCATTCTTATTGGTCAGAAGTAATCAGTGCGGTTGGTCGTACATACTGGTAGACCTCCAAACCTCTGTTCTGGTAAAACAATCAATTTCTTTATTCATAATAAACCGAAGTAAAAGAATTTTATAGTTCCCTTGAGGGATATATGAAGACATAATCTAAAACCTCACAGAGCGTAAGAACCAAGGTTACAATAAACAGTGGACACAAAACCTTGCGGATTGTGATAAAAGAATAATCACAAGGTCATGCATATGATCAATGCACTTTCCTAAATAGAGAAAAAATAACATTGACCATTAATGCACGTGAAAGCTTAATTTCATATGGAAATTATTCTAGCCGCCTCAATTTGGTTTGCATTGTACATTATTTAAATTAAAGGGAGGAGGGAGGGGTGCGCGATAGACTTCCCTCCACGTGGAGCATCCTGGTCAATGTAAAATCATACGGCAAGTGTCTATAAACCGGTGGTTCACTTCTAATTTCAAACTACCATAACCCGACTGCATGCATATTCAACCACTTCCATAGTACCCACCTTTCCTTTAATCCACCTTTGTCCGTCAATTTTACATCTGTGAATCACTATTCTCTTCCCCTAACTATTTTTTGTGACTTTGTCTGTTCCTCGCCTCTGTGAAGCCCAAAGTCAACTGAAGAGTCAACGATAACTATCACAAAGCTTGCCATTTAATACGAAGAATTACCTGCGCCAACTTTCAAAAAAGACAGCTGGCTTTTAGTGGCGTCAAAGAAACAAGATAGTTTGAGAAAATTCATATGAGAGACTAGTCATATGATAAACTTTTAACACTGATCATGCTTTAGCACTAGTAAATCAAAAAAACCAAAGGTAACACATGTAAATCAAAAACATAGTTTTTATTGCAAACGATCATATTGAGAAATGCAATTTTAACAAAAAATGTCATACATTGAGAAACTATAAGTATGAAGTCCAAGAGAATAATTCGCGGAAAATATACAGAGAAGCCAAAAACTTCAAGGAGAAATTCGTCAGGTATAACATCATAGTATTGAAGAGGCAATGGCCTTCATTACAATTACATTTAATTGAAATTCACAAAAGTATCAAGGAAAAGTAAAGGTAGAGTCAAGTAAAAAAAAATTTTAAATTACCAAAATAGAATTGACAAAGTAAGATAACAACTAAGATGGGGAATCAAAAGGTCTAATAAAATGCGGAAAACGAAATTGAGAACAAATTAAACGTCCGTGAATCAATATTCTGTCCCCCTCACCACCTTTACCCGCTTTGATGTTCCTCTTCCTTTCCGTAAAGCCCGAAGTCAACTAAAAGGCTAATGTTACCTATGATAACGCCTGCCATTTAAAATAAATAAATTAAACTGATAACAATAAAAGACGAAAAAGGACGAAAAGATCCACACAAGCACTAGAGGGAGAGCACGAGGCCAAGGCCGCCAATTGCCGCCCACCGACAAGGTCACAACAGCCCCCACAAACAAACACCTCTTCCTCATCCTCCCTTTCCTCATTGCCTCCCATATCATCATCCACCTGCCATATTGC